TTTATAGAATATTGTAAAAATTATGGTCTATTACCAACACACACACACATATATATATATATATATATATATATATATATATATATATATATATATATATAGTCCTGGGCATAAAACTGCATTCACGCTGCCTTGCGAGCTTTTGAGCAAAAGGCTAGGCCCACCGTTTATAACTGGTGGTTGTCGTCAGGATGGGTGTCCGGATGTAAAAAGTTTCTCCAAAATTTATTCCATGCCATCACAAAAAACAACGGCCCCTAGTACCCAGCAGGCCTTAAGTGGTCAAGGGGTGCTAAGAATCCCTGGGAAGTAAACAATAGCGGAGGGATGTTGCAGAAAAATTAAGAATGGTCCCTCTATGGTACTTAGACTTGGAACGCTCAATGTTGGATTACTGACTGGTCGCAGCAGGGAAATCGCAGAAATGCTCGAGCGTAGAAGGATTGACATCTGCCGCCTTCAGGAGACCCGATGGAAATCGAATGGTGACTGTCATATAAATTCAGACAAAGAAAAATATAAATTATTCTGGAATGGTTAAAAGACGGCCAAAAATGGTGTTAGAATTTTTGTCAAAGAACCGCTAGCCCAAGAAGTACTGGATGTTAAAAAGAATAACTCACGTTTCATGTGGATCAAGATTCGCCTAGAAAAGCAAACAATGACTATTTTTTCTACATACGCACCACAGGAGATGAAAAATGACTTCTGGGCTGCGTTCTCTGACACCATCTCAACAATACCAAAATCTGAAACAATCCTGATTGGAAGCGACCTTAATGGCCACGTTGGAGAGAAAACCGATGGTTTTCAGCGTGCATGGCGGTTTTGGCAATGGAGAACGGAATGAAGATGGCAATCGCATCCTTGAGTTTGCCGAAAGTCACGGGTTTTGTTCACTGAACACATATTTTGAAAAGAGGTTGGAACATCTCATAACATACAAAAGTGGACCATCAGCCACGCAAATTGATTTTTACGCTGTCAAGCAACAGCACCGAAGGCCATTCAAAAATGTCAAAGTTATACCTGGCGAATCATGTGTCGCCAAAAATAGACTCTTTGTGGCAGACCTGGTTGTCAAACTGTCAAAACATAAGTCTAAACAATGCCTCGGAAAATCAAAACGTGGAAGCTGGAAAGCCATATTCATCGAGAAAAGTTTCAATAGATTGTCGCCACACAATTAGACCACCAATCGCAATCCAGTGCAGATTGGAGTACATACAACAACAACAACACACGTTTAGACGGCATTTTCCCCGAGATCGGGGGTTGCCGTTTAGCTACCTATGATGAAACCGAAATACCCCTCGACGCCATCCACATCTGTCACTCGCCTCAGTATCACGCAACCCCGCTTTCACCCTGTCCTTTTCCACCTGCTCTCTCCATCCCAATCGCGGACGACCCCTTCCTACCACTCCTTCAACCTCGAACTCCAACGCTCGCCTAATCCCGACCCTTTCATCCCTTCTCAACACATGTCCATACCACCGCAATCTCGATCTCCTTATCAATGTCACAATGTCCTCATTCAGTCCCATCATTGACATCAGCTCTGTACTACTCCTCCTATCCTTCACTTTAACCCCACACATCATCCTCACCATAGCTCTTTCAGCCCTCTGCAGTACACTTTTCTCCTCTCTCCTCAACACCCAAGTTTCACCACCATATACCATCGCTGCTCTCACACATGCTTTATATACCCTCCCTT